TTGTTTGTGTTCTGTGTATCATTTTCCAACAACCAACCTTTTTGCACAAAATAAGAAATATACTAGTGAGTTCAAAAAGTGACTGAGAACAACTCACACGAAGGTTAGTAAAGAAATAATTAATCAAAAAGGAATAACTGCCAATATATTAGAATTTTTATTTCCAAAGAAGTAAAGAAATAATCAAAAATAAATAACTGCCAATATATTAGATTTTTTTTCATTTCTGAAGACGGAGGCAGATTTTGGCCTCCGCAACGTTAAGATAAGTATTGCATTATTTTTTAACAATGTTTTCGATAGGCAAAATTGTTAAATACGACAAGTTACTGATAAAAAGAAGATTATTCTTTGTGAAAAATACTTTGATTTTACGCAGTAACTTATCGGGGTAAACTAAAAAGTTTGCTCTTCTACACTCGTATAAAGTTCTCCATTATAATTTTTTCATATTTTTCAGATTGTCCAAGGTAATAAATACCCAAAACATTCCTTAAAAACTCATTTTCCTCCACAAAAAATAGACTTTCGTTGAATATCATTTTATTGTTTTGCTGATTTGGCCGAGTGTCACCACCATTTCCCAAAGACTTATTTTGTTACAACTATTATTGATATCAATAACCACGATTCTTTACGATTCGCAAATATTGCGGTTTACCTATCAACCTGCGAATGTTTTTTGTTTGAATAGAAATGCGGGAGGTGTGGGAATAATTTATCAGTCAAGTATAACTATAAAAGTGGCCCGCGATGAATGAGAATCAGAAGTGCCCCATTTTCGATAGAGGTTCCACTGAATTCTTCAGGTGAGTACTATATTTTCAATTCATGAAAGTTAGTCGTTCCCTTCACTTATTGATCATTGCTAGTTTTCCAATAAACAGTTCATGACAAATTTAATCGAGTATTTTTAATTTTTTCTTCTCTTAAATACTGACATCAATTGCAATTGTTGAGTTCTCATGATTATCCAACATTTTATTTCATATAAAAAACACTACTGTATCATAGAATTTTCATGTCAACTGAAAATTGGACAACTTTTTCGGTTGAATTTCGTTTTCTTCAAAATTTCCATTTCTTATGCAAATTTCAAAACACTACCTCGTTAATCTCAAGATGTAATCCAAAATTCGGTTTGCCAAAATCTTTCAAGATATTATGAAAGAGATGAAAAAATTC